CTAGTAGTAAGGCCAGGAGCTACTAGTAGCGTCCTTGCTCCTAGTAGTAAGGCCAGGAGCTACTAGTAGCGTCCTTGCTCCTAGTAGTAAGGCCAGGAGCTACTAGTAGCGTCCTTGCTCCTAGTAGTAAGGCCAGGAGCTACTAGTAGCGTCCTTGCTCCTAGTACTAAGGCCAGGAGCTACTAGTAGCGTCCTTGCTCCTAGTAGTAAGGCCAGGAGCTACTAATAGCGTCCTTGCTCCTAGTAGTAAGGCCAGGAGCTACTAGTAGCGTCCTTGCTCCTAGTAGAAAGGCCAGGAGCTACTAGTGGCGTCCTTGCTCCTAGTAGTAAGGCCAGGAGCTACTAGTAGCGTCCTTGCTCCTACTTGCTGTCAGGTCTGAACCAGGCCTCCGAGGTGCTCTCACATCCGTCGATGGGTCGAGTCCAACTTCCCTTTACACATTTTATTTCTTTTTGCATTGTGCATTCTCTTTGATTTTTCGTGCATTGTCTTTTGGTTCAACCGGTTTACATTATATACTTGATTTGCGTCTCTTCTTGTTTAGACATTGTATGACATTGTTTGAATTGGTATTTTGCAGCACGCTTGGTCTCGACATCTTTTTTCAAGCTGATGTGCTGCCAGGATCAGCCTCTGGTAACTTCGGCAAATATGAAAGAGTCGTCAGGCAACAAAGCTGGGAGTAACGGTTCTAAGAAAAGTCATGGCAAGTCATGATAGTTCACACTGAGTCATGAGCCGAGCCGTAGGAAATTGTATTCTTGGTGTTCATTAGACTGTTGTCAAAAGCATTTGGTACCATTTGTCGTTCCCATTCTGTTGCTCATCATCTTTGCCGTTTGGCAAAAGCTGCGATTGTTCCCGTCTTTTCAGGTTTTCCTTTTGCATGGAGTACAGCCTCGTTCGGCCATCCCTTGGTGTAATGAGGTTTAATGAAATATGTCATTTCTAGATGTTTGTAGCCATTTGCGTTTTGCGTACATGCGAGCAAACACATTTTCCAGTTTTCCAACATCGGTATTGGCTTTGGAACAAGGCCGCCCTCCAAAATGAGATACCTGTAATCACTGTAATCTGCCATTAAAGTAGTCTAGATGACACAGAGACCGCCCCAAAAGAGATAGGAGATAGCGAAATTGAGTTTAGTAGCAAATAAGTTTCTCCATTCATGCGGCGGACAAGCTTTGTTCTGGTTTGTGATTGATAGATCGCAGCAGAAGTGATAGCCGGCACTTCACGATGTAGACTGAAGGCGTCGTCCAAGCAGATGGCTTCAGCATGTTTCAGCAAGTGTGACTATCCCCCCATGCCGGCCCATGCCCATACTTCGAGTGTGGGTTTTGCCGCAGGTCAAATTCGCAGCAATCACAGCTGTCAGAGGCAAGGACACAATAAGACACTGCCACGGCTGTGAAGTTGTTTTTGCAGAAGGAAGACTCAAGAACTAACATGAAGCAAGCAGATGAAGCGAAAGATTTAATAGCTTTTATGCAGTTTTGCTTTCAGTCTCTTACAGCGGCCTTCAACGCGTTGGGATCAGCTGAGGAAGATGCAAGTGCCAACACTGTGATCGCCTCCAAAGAGGCACTGGACCGCCATACGGATTGATCGAAGGAAGATGGAGCGGAAGATCCCAAAGGAAAGATCCCAAAGTTTATCATTGACATACATTGACAAAGATGTTCAAGATGCTTATATACAATATTAAGATATAAGATTATAAGATGAACACAGACATGCACATCTTGGAAAATAATGCATTCTGTATCATTCTGTCATCATTTTTCCGCTTGGAAAATACTGTGTCCTTTCAGGTCCTTGCAGCATTCGCCACCGCCAAAGCTCGATTCGAGGGTGCGGTGCCTCTGTTTGTCCGAGAAGCTTTTGAGCAAAAAAACAAAAAAGAAGGAAGTGCTTTTGAAAGCTTTTGGAACAGAGTTCTAAAGGATTTGGGCCTCGGCCTTGGGTGTTTAGACCGATGCTGATTGGCCCTCCAACCTAATATCGGCCTCCAGCCCAATAGCTTAGGGAATGCAGATATTTGGGCTGGAGGAATGTCTTTGTAGATGCGTTGTATTAGGCAGATCCTCCCGGTTCTCGACGTTGTTTGCTTTCCCCGCAGGTCGAAGCGAAGGATAGCCAATGATCATCCCTTTAAAACGCTTAGCAATGGCAATTTTTAAAGATTTGCCACATTTTTCGTTATGCGAAGTCGTGCGACTCGCAACAGTATATAACAGTATATAACAGTATATCATCGGTATTATACGGTTATACGCTATACAGCAGATGTGTTTCCCTAGTGTGCCAGATATTCCTATTTTAAGCTGCAGTTCATCAATTCTATTGTTGACGTTCGTTGCTTTCTCCTTGGCCAAAGTGCCAAATGCTTGCTTTCCGGCCACAGAGTGCACAAAGTGCAGCTCGTGACACCAGCGCTTTCGCGGAAAAGAACTCAAGGACAGTCAGAAAAAGAATGAACACAAAGACGTGTGAACCATCGCAAATTGCAGGAAATAACGCATGCAACGATGTTCAACGACGTTTCCGCACTGGAATGCCTTTCTTTGCAGCTGGGGTCAAGCGCAATTGTGCTTCAGGCCTATTATCAAAGTTAGTTGTTGTTTCTTAGGTGTGCTCAAGTTTCATGCCTTTCAACACTCTGAAGAGCTATGTCAACCGTAACCCTTAAGAACTTAAGAAGCAGTACAGTAGCCGTTTCTTGTTTTGCCGTGCTGCTTAGAGTTTGTAGTGCGCAGCCAGCTGTGCTTCGCTCCGCCTTGAATGAAGCTGCAACTTGGACCATACGGAGTCATGCAAATCCCACGGGTATACAGCAAATGGTTCCCGCTAAATGGCAAACATCACGGATTACTATGGGAGTGGCCACCCAGAAGCTGAGCCCCTCGTGGCAGACTTGGAATCTACTCAAGGGGACGCACAACTCGCATGTGCTTGAGCGTGCCTATTCACTCAATATTCACATAGTCTCCCCCACGCACTGAGCAGGAGGAAGTCCCATGCCCTTGTGAGTTGTGCGCCCCTTGAGTAGATCTCGAGCCTGCCTCGCGGGGGTTCAGCTTTTGGGTGGCCACTCCCTTAGGGATTTCCTGTCGCTCAGACCAGAGATCCTACTTTGAACATCTTTGAACTGATGAAATGCCCGCGCCAAGGTAACCGCAAATGAAGCAACTGTGTTGGCAAGGCCTCCGAATCATGCCATGACAATGTTGGCAAGGCATCCGAGCACCGTTTCTTGCCAACTCACCCAGAAATGGTGCCAGGGCTGGCCCTGATTGGCTGCCTTTCCATCACTGCTGGCGCCGTGAAGAGGTGCATGCCATGCTTTTTTTGAACCTCACATGTTGAGAAGTTTCTTTTCAAACCACTCATTTCAAGCGTTTTTTTCTCCGTTGCTTTGCCACCTTTCACTCGTCATTTTGTCGATTGTCGCTGTAAACCTTTTGTCCACTCCATTGCTCGAGGCCCTCTTCTCGGGTGAACTACTCAGACGTTCTCAGCAACGAGGGAGTTCTTGCATCTTAAGTGTCCGAATTCCACATGACGTGTGGCAAACATTCAAGGTCCGGCATGTGGGTGACAATAGCTACCACCCAGCATTTTCCTTCCTGGAGACGCACGAAGTTCTCAATGATGAGGCACATAGGAACTTGTTTGGTCAGCAGTCGGCACACGCAGCACATGCATTTCAGATGCTTTTTGCATGGAAGCGATTTGGAAAGTCATCAAGAGTGATAGGGCATGGTGCAGGTGATGGATCAGATCCACAGTGCGCTCTCAGGAGTATCAAGAAGTACTAGGCAGGGGATGGCATAGGGATCGAGTTTCAGCTCCACTTTAAGCAGGTGGCAAGTTTCGGCACATGTCTTTGGTATATTACATGTTTCAGTTTCAGAATGTTGCAGAAGCAGATGTCAGCTCCAGTTGTCCCCAGGCACTTTGATAGATATTTGGCATCTCTAGAAGATGCTTTAGTTTCTCTGATGAGGCAAAAGGCCTGCAGCTGTCAACCGAATCTAGTCACTGTAGTCACGATTTGACAGCATTTGGCTTCTCTGCTTGATCAGGATGATTCCCCATACCTTTCCGATGCCATCAACAACATTTTGCACGTGGCAAATGTGACATTGAAGAAAGGTATCATCGATCAGCGTGGACCTCAGGACAACCTAATAACGATGGCCTCCAACCGAATAGCCTGAATCTTCTTTTGGGCCAACAGACAAATCAAATGCTACTAGGGCTCCTGGCATTGCTACTACGAGCAAGGATGCTACTAGGGGCTCCTGGCCTTACTACTAGGAGCACGAAGCTACTAGGAACAAGGGCGCTATTACTGTTCCTAGCAGCTTCTTGCTCCTAGTAGTAAGACCAGGAGCCCCTAGTAGCGTCCTTGCTCCTAGTAGCGATGCCCTTTGTTACTACTAGAATCCTCTGTTGGGCCAGCAGACAAACCAATTAATGGGCCCCGACCTGCTCCAAGTGAGCGCCACGTGACTCCACGTGACATGTTTCCACACAAGGCATGCGGCTGCTCAGCAGGCGCGGGGATAGGGGAGTCCCACTATGATGCATGAATTCTTAGCATCTTGTGATCTATGTTGGATATGTTGGATTGAGAGTGGTAGATTCTCTTACATGGCACCATCCCCAAGTTTGGTGGTTTATGTGGACCTCCATCTAGAAGACATTCTGCGGGGTTGTGCCATCGACTCTGTGAGTCACAGTGCAATTTATTTGGTGTTTGGGGGCTTCAAACATGCCGCATCCGTGCCGCATGTGTGAATCACATGAGGCAGTTGCCAATGCGGACGGCGAAGTTCTGAAGTGTGCACTGACTGCTATGATCCACCTAGTAGAAGGGGAAAACAAGCAGAGTCAAGAAGGTAAATGGAGGAAACCGAGCAAGACCAAGCAAACTTGAAAACCAAATCACCCAACTGAACTCCCTGAATTCATCGATATTTGGATCCCGAGTGTGTGCCTATCTGAGGCCACGGCTCTTTAAAGAAAGCGCTGAACGCCTCCGACAGCCTCCGCGATGAATTGCTTGCGAAGAGCAATGAGTCTTGGCAACGAGTGGAACCGGAAGTTCTTCTAACTTGAAGCATCGAACATTGAACCGATATTTGTGTTTTTTTGGGGTAGACAGCTAGTAGCTAGAGGTAGCTAGGTAGTTAGTAGTTGCAAGTAAGCTCCTACCTACAGGACGCAGGATAGCTCGCGCTTCTTCAAGGAAGCTTCCTTGAAGAAGCGCTCGCACTATCTATTTGGTTCCTAGATTTTTAGGGAAACTTAAGGTGGTATATAACCATGCCAATTGAACAATTGATTCGCAATTGAATGGTTCAAACTGACTTCGAACCTTCACCCGCGCAACTGCCTAGGCTACTAGAAATTGCTACAATTCCGAGACGGTGCCTTGCCTGCATGGACATCTCAATACATTTGTCTTGGCTGGCCCTTCTTCCTATCTTGAGAAGCCAAGGCATCGTCCGAAATGACAACGGCTTTGCTTTCTCTCCCAAGGAATCTGCTTTTGGAGAGAGGAGTGTGTGGATGCAAAACAGCTTTTGACAACTTTTCTTGCAGGCTTTTGAATGCCAAGACGTCAGATTGCAAGAATTTCCTGATGGCATCTGACGTGAACGAAGCTCCCTTTGAGGACTGGGGATATTTGGGAGGGATCCAGCAGGACATGAGTAGTCGCCGAGTAGTAAATGCAAATTCAAAAGATGCAGAGAGTGTAGATGATCGTCGCACGCATAGGTGGTATTTTGATGTATGTGTACGTGATTGCACGTGCATAATAACTAGAACTATATATAACTATAATGGTCATAAGAATCACATATATATATATACACATGCGTTATATATATGCATATATATATATGTGTGTGTTTATTCCCCACACACACACACATGGATCGATGTCGGTTCCATGTTTGTTTTCACCTTCACGGTGCACCAGGCGTGGGCCCTGAAATGCGACCACCATGACGATCCAAGTGTTGGGACCTACCTGATGAAGCAACTGATGCATTGGGAGGCACAACTGACGCCAGCCTGACATGGACATAGCGATGGCCTCCAACCCAGCAATAGCCTCCCTCCATGAGCAAGAGATCCTGGACATGTCCGACATTATGTGTCCCTCGTGCTTTGTGCAGGCCCTTCTTGAGCAGTATGATGCAATTGAGCACCGGTGCAAGCATTCCATCGAGCTCTACTCAGCACAGGTCTCAAGGCAGGAGGAAGACATATTATTATAAGAGATAGAGATCAGTGGGATATGGAACATGGGAAAGCTGGTACCGGCCGCAGACCTTAGTGGTTGTTCCATGTTCCAGACCGATTGGACTGCCTAAAGTACTTGCTGTCCATCAGCAAAATGTAACAGCAACGCTGCTCTGAGCACAAGAACAATGCGACAACAGAAGGGAGAACACACTACTTGTACCACCCTGATGCGAAGCAATGGCGGTATCGAGATAACTTTAGAACCGCATCAGTTTGGATTTTGCGAAGTGGCGAAGTGGTCAGGTATACAGCCCTGAAAGGCCTGGTCAGTTTGCTTTCAGAATTGAGTTTCACAAGAGTTTGTGCAGCGAACGCTTGTGGCATGTGAAATCAGGCCGACAAAAGCACGGTGTTGGGGAGTGCCGTGCTTTGCAAGATGATTTGGACTCATCTGCCTGCAAGCAGGACTGGAAATGGCATGACATGGCCTGAACAATTGAATTATGAATATGGTCCATTGGAATCATATGAACCTGATTTTGTTTAGGGAAAACAATGTTCGCTACTAGTAACAAGTGCATCGCATCTAGTAACAAGTGCCTTACTAGTAGTAACAAGGACGCTAGTAGAAATAGGTCCGATTCCGAATTCCACCAAACACGAAACATCGGATGCATCGCACAGACGGCTCGGCTCCAGGCCATGGGACGCATTGAATCCTGCGCTGGATATCAGGATTGCATCAAAGCCACGGCCTCAGCGACCCACGACCCGTGGGCCTTGTGGGCCGCAACCGTCGCACTTCAACGGTCAAACAGCGAATTCGTTCTGCGCGCCAGTTCTAGTGGACCCGATCAGATCTTATCAGCAACATTGGTTGAAACTGAAGTTGAATTAACACTGTGCAGCCGTGTGATTTGCTACACGTATCTACACGTGCCATTTTTGGGCATGCCTTTTTACGCCAACTGCACTGACTTTGCGCGAGATGCGCAGGAAAGCATTGGCCATAGAGCCGCTGCACACGAGCCGCGAGCTCGGGGGCTGACAAAGCATGAAGCACAAACGAAGCAAATGAAGCGAGTCGAAAACACGCAGAACGAAGAACTAGCATTCACTAGGAACAAAGACGCTACTAGTAACAAAGGGCATCGCTACTAGGAACAAGTGCCTTACTAGTAGTAACAAGAAGCTATTAGAAACAAGTGCCTTACTACTAGGAGCGATCGGACGCTACGTTCGGGGCTCCTGGCAGGTAGCGTCCTTGCTCCTAGTAGTAAGGCACTTGTTTCTAATAGCTTCTTGTTACTACTAGTAAGGCACTTGTTCCTAGTAGCTATGCCCTTTGTTACTAGCGTTCCAGCTCGTACCGGAGATGCGAGTAGTTTGAGCTAGATTGGTTGACCAACAGACTGAATGTCAGGACCATTTGCAAGGGAGAAGATGGGTTGAAGGCCTGGTTGAAACACCTTGAACTGGGAGTGTGCAGTTTTTCTTAAGAAGTGCCTGATAGGATCAGTGGTATGCAATCTCCACTGTGGAGTGCTTCTTCAACGCATATCGGGACACAGAGAACCTCAAGGAGCTGCGGAGAACAGGATGATTTCACATGCGGCTGGTGATCTTTTTCAGTGTGCTTCGCTGTGCTTCGCAGGACCTGAAAGCGAGCCTTGACACTTGCAAGTCTTTGCCGAAGTCACACTACGACGTCTCAAGATTTGAAGTGCGGGGCTGCCACTCCACGGAGGTTCGCTTGGTTTCGCTGCCACACCGTCGAAGTCAATCAACACCGTCGAGCCTTGTGACGAAGGCAGCGCTTTTTGAAGCTTTGGACTCCACGAAGCCGAACTCAACGAGCTCTATGGCCTGTGCAGCAGTCAAAGTGGAGGTCCTTCCGGACGATCCTTTTTTGCCTGGTGAGCTGCCTATCCTCAGTGCATGACACATTATGACTCATGACTCAGAACTATCATAACTTATGAAGCGTTGTAGCAGAGTGGACGACCAGAATCCGAGGCACAGATGCTTATGTCTTTCAGCTGCATTCGCTTGCTTTGCATGTGGAACATGAAGAACAACTTAGATGTTGGCTTGACAGTTTGGAATGCTGGTGTGATTATGGTTTGTAGTTTTGCTCATGGAAAGGGGGGCCAAGGAAGCCACATACTACAATGGCTTTAGTGCGCAAAGGTGTGGCTTTGCGAAGCTTTGCGTATGGAGCGAATGGAGATTTGTAAAGCAACCGATAGCACGCGACGGGCACTGTGGAATCCTATTCCAAAGTACTTTATAAGAGATCTAGTAATTCTAGTACTACTTCTTGCGAAGCTGTGACTCACGGATCTGGAGGTGCAACGCAACTTGTTGCTTGAATCCGCCTTTCCCAACAACCACCACCTCCACAACAACCACTACGACCAGTACATCTACGACGACGACCACCACGACAACCACTACAACCATTTGCACAGATGCTTAACCCTTAGTTTCCAAAACAACTAAAGAGGCACTTTTAACTGCACATTTAGGGTATTGCTTGTTGCAGCTTTTCAATTGAACATGCTACAATGCTTGAGCTGCTCGTAGCGGGTTTGGCACACCTTTGCATCGACAAGATTCTTGTCAGGTCAAGAAGGGGTGCTTACAAGATGTTGAATCCTGCAACAATACTGGATCCGGACGAGTCTTGGCAGTGCGATCTCTACCTCAATGCCAAGATGGTGTACTCGAATTTCAAAGTCATGAGCAAACTGATTGCGACTACACAGCTGAGAAGCTGCGGATTCTCCTGAACAAGGGGAGAAATCAGACTTGCTTCGACGTTCCAATTGACAAAGTAGAAATGCGACATGTCTATGTGGATGATGTGTGGGTTCCAACAGTGCGGGTATATCCGAATCGGTTCTCCCTTGGATTGAACTGTGCTGGGCTGGCACAGAGCTTGAAAGCTGAATGGTTGGAGAAACAGTCAGAGCCTTGGCTTGCAATGGTGCAAGCAGGCATGGAGCCTGGCAAAGTTTGGTGATTGGCTCTTTCTTGAAAGAACATTCCATCAAATGAGCATGCCCTGGAATCAACGCCATTGGTTGTAGCATGAGACAGGGTCAGCCAAAGATGAAACCTACTGTAATGGGTTGCATTTGTCAATTGGGCCTGCTCAGAAACTATACTGGGACTTAGTACTGTAAAATTGGGTGGAGATGGCTGATTTTGATGCTTTCCATGTGCTGCTGGGGTGATAAGGGATCCATGCTTTTCCCCATCGGCCGCATTGAACGACTTCCCACTGCATCTGAGATATTGGAGTGTGCAGAAAGGAAGTACAGCGAATAAACATATACTAATAACATCGAATGTGTTCCGTTCAGGGAGTTTGAGGAGCACTTGAAAGAAAGTGATTTGGAGGTGGGAACCCAAACAAAACCACAAAAGGAACCAGAGACAGCCCATGCCTTGGACTTGAGGACTCGGACTTGCAAGTACGAGTTCAACCTGGTTGTGTTCCTTTGAACCCGAAGCCAAGTCAATGTGCAAATGGGCAGTTGACTCTGACCTCCAAGTTGACACCGACATGCGACAACGGTGCTTATCCCCTTGAGATTGGTCTGAACTCAACCGATGCAAGTCAGAACGACTGCGAGATCAACGGCACGCTGAAAGTGAGTTTGGGAACATGTCTTGCGTCCACCTTCAAGAAGTTGAAGGTCCTTTCCAATGGGACTCACTTCGGTGCAGCTCGCTTGTATCCGGTGAATTCTCCGACCTTGTTGCCATGTGAAGAGATGATTGACGTGGTCAAAGGTTTAGTCAGTATCTATGGTACCGACATGGTGGTATCCGATAGTTGTTACCTCCCCCCAGCTCCGTCTACACCAGCTCACATTGCTCCTGCTGCTCCAGCGCGTATCGCGCCCATTGTAGAACTGCCAATGTGCAAAGGCAGCAGCATGGCAGTGCGCGCCACATCCACTGCTGCTTGCTACAACAATCGGAGCTTCCTCCAGTTCAACATCAATAGTTCCAGCATCGAGAAGAACTGCCAAATGGCCGGTAGCTTGCGTGTCACTGCTGAGGGAAGCTGTGTGCCAATGCAGATCAGCAAAGTACAAATGGCTTCATCCACATTAAGACTTTTCCCTGACCCAACCAACAGTTCCAAGTTGACGTGCGCTTCAATTGAGGCTTTGTTTGAAATGTTTTTGGAACCCACAGGAGGAAAACTTGAGATTCAAGAGACTTGTGTCGCTCCAAAAGTGGCCACCACCACGACCACTACTGTGGCTTTGGCACCCTGCAGTTTGATCGCCAAGGATTATTCTTTGGTGGTCACGGCAGATGCAACATGCGGCGGCAGCAGCACCACAAAAGACTCCACAGGCTCCAGCATGTCTTTCAGGATCAAAAATGATTCCGTGACTCACCTAGCAGATTGGGCAGCTAGGCTCAATTGCTTTATCGAGCAGGAGACGCCTTTGAGGATGTTTGATGACGAATTCTGTTATCCATTTCCAGCTTGCAGGGTGGAATTGTCGAGGACCCGAGACGGCGGAGCTCAAGTCACAGCTCTTTTTGATGAAGCCAGGTGCTTTGGAGATAGTGGCTTTGCAGCCTGGTTCAACGCCTATTTCCGTCCACCTCTGACTTCAGAGGACAAGGAAGTGGGTATTGCTGCTGATTGCCCCAAACTAGCACAGACCACGACTACGACAACCAGGCCAAGCCCGGTGGTGTCTTTGCAAACCTGCCCTTTGGAGGATGGGAGCTCCAGAAAACATATGAGCAGTGTGCCATTTCTTCTTGTTTCTTTGCTTCCTAAACACATGTTGAACGATTCTTGTTCAGTTGATAGACCAAGCAGCTTCATCAAGTTTGCCATAATTCTGCATCCCAATGCTAACGGATGCTAAAGGCTTCAACACGCTTTCGCAACATGCGGCGACTTTAACATACTTCAACTGATATCTTAAACAAGACCACCTGTTCCACCTGTTTTGCTCCCTGTTCGAGGACTTGCATCTTGTGCTTGAATCCGACGCTCACTGCGAATCAGATATGCGTTTCAAGGTGAAGTACCGGGGTCTTTGGGAAGGTTCTTGTGAACTGCTGGGAACTCTTCGTCTTTTTAGCCAAGACCAATGCCACCCGAGCATCTTCAAGAAGATCCAGCTTGAACACGACAGTGACCATGTGGTGCTACGAGCTGATGGACCTTTAAGTCTCTCGAGCTGCCCTCTCTTCAATGCCTTGTTCCGGAAACCAGCCCCGATTTACATTGGTCATGCATGCCCTCCCAGGGTCACGACCATTTCAGATTTGGGTGAGGTTTCTCCGCAAACAGATCTTCCTCCATGTGCAGGACATGTTCACATGCAGGTGAAGACAGTAGCAACCTGCCCTGGGGATTCTTCTTTCATGCGATTTGCTGTCACATCCAATGTGGTAGACTGCGAGATGGATATGCCTGGATTGCGATTGTCTCGAAATGGGCAATGTTTGTTCGCACACTTCCGTCGAGCCCGAATTGTTTCGAAGGGCTACAGAGTAGCTGAAGTCTATGGAAGTGGAACGCACAGCTGTTCGGGCAGTGAGGGCTTTGCGACCATGTTCAATCTGCTTTTCAGACCTCCGCTTGTAGCAGATGGAGTGCAGGTGACTTTGCAGCATGGCTGCCTTGAGTCTTCTCTTCCAACTCCAATCAGAGCTCTTGCTCCCGGCACTTGCACCAACTCAGATGTTCCGCTCCGGTTGATTTTGCAGTCGCCCATTGAATGCTCTGAAGATGGCAGCTACCAATTTCGAATCAGCGCTGGTATCGGCCCCACAGATTCAGTCGATCTCAGCACACAAGAATGCTCCATCGAAGGACCAGATCTAATGATTTACGATGAGAAGGAACAGTCAAATTGTAATGGGATGAGTTTCCAGAAGATTCACTTTCGACCAGAAGGCATGTCCATTTCTGGAGTGGCTTTTCCCGCTCCCGGTGCACTCTGCAACAGCGCAGAAGGTCAAAAACCGGATGCGAAGTACACTCTTGGACATGAGATTCTTGTAGGACGATGTCGTGATGTGCCACAGTGTTCTGAAACTGTGATGACTTCAAAGTTCATCGTGCAGTCTGAAGCGACATGTTCCCGCGATCAAAGCTACATGGAGTTTCAACTGGATGGGCCTGTTGAAAAGGAGTGCACCTTGCCATCTGGACTTCGCATGGTGTATGGCCGTGACATTTGCATGCCTGGTGATATCCACAAGGTGGTCTTGGTTCCTGGCGACACGAGAACCGTTGCTCGGGTGCATTTTGGAGGAGACATGCCAAACATGGTGCCTTGTGCCGGTATCGAAGGGCATGCTGCAGCCTTCAATGAGCTTTTCCGCAAGAACCCAGATGCTGAAAGTCTAAGCTTTGGTGGCTGCCCAGCAGCCCCTCGAGCTCTTGCAGGACGAGCCCCTGTGTGCCCTATGTCGGCTGAAGGCATTGCCATGATAGTAACATCCGAGGCTACCTGCACTGATGACAATATGAGTTTCAGAGTTGATGCCGCTGGCCTGCCCAATGCTGACTGTGCTCTGGATCAAGGGGTGCTGAACAACCAAAGATTGAAGCTTACCTGCATAATGATCATAATGTCATGTTGCAAAGCTTTGCTGATAGGTTTGGTTAGCTTCAGTTTGAAGGCCAGCAATTTCTTGGGCACTTGCTGCACGGGACGTGATTGCCTTCGTGTTACTCACTTTCTTCGTGCTTGGAACACAATTGACCAATTGATAGCTCAACATTTTGGAGTTCCTGTGTTAGCACAAATTACCGTCCTTCCGCTACCTATTGTTGCGCTGCTTCCTTATGTTCTTTTCCCTATCATGTTTTGCCCTATTTTGCTGCAAGTTTTGTACCTTGTGTATACAGTAATACACCACAACTTTCACATCCTCCTTCAAATTTCCTTTACAAAATCAACCTGCCTGGGTAACAAAAAGAGCTTCGATATTGTAAACAAAAAAGTTCATTTCCAGGTGCCCATTTTTGTGGGGGTGGGGTGGGTGATTTTGTAAGGGCAGCATTCTTTCTTGGGGCTGTTGATTTTGTAAAGACTCGATATGTTGGTATGGAGGTCCCAAGTGCCGCACTGTTGAGGGTGGGATCCTTGATTTTATGCAAGTTTGAGGGTGGGGTGGTTGTCCTTGTGTAGAACATGGACAGTTGATTCTGTAGTCGATTGACCTGCTGTAAAGCATGGACAGTTGATTTTGTAGTGGCTTGCTGTAGAACATGGCCTCATAACTTCTCAATAATTCGCATAATTTTTCATGATTCGCATAATTTGCTGAATGACCGACTGGCTGTGTTTCACAAGCGCCAAAAGTTGCATGTTGCCCAGGCCAGTAAAAGCATATAAAAGCAATTTGCAAACATTTAAAAAGAACAAGAGTCATGATGTTCTGGGAAGCTCCAAAGAAAAAACAAGACATCGATGTCTCGCACTGGTGCAAAAGATTCTGCGAAGTTGACCAACTCTTCGAAATGGTTCTCTGCTGCACACCACCTGGCAGCAAGGCCCTCATCTTTTGGTTCACCTGTTCACCTGGGGTCCCTGATTCCGTAATGCATCGAGCTTTGAGGGTAGTGATTTTGTAATCTCGGTTTTGTCTAAATATCTTGGGATCCCTGATTCTGTAATGAAATTGCACCGCAGCATTACAAAATCGTTTGTTTTTTCCAACCCAGGTTGAATGATTGAGATTTTGTTTCTTGTTTGAGACCTCAGGGAGGTTGATTTTGTAATTGCGCTGAGCCATGTCGACAGAGTGCATATGACTCTGTAATGGCTGTATCTTGAGACTGGGACAGTTGATTTTGTAATATCGGCTGGAGAGTTGTCCCTTGCCTGCGTCCTGGGGGGTTTGATTTTGTAAAGTTTTTCAGATGGGCGAACCTGGGGTGGTTGATTCTGTGGCGCATTTTCCTTAGAGAATCAACCACCCCTACATACTCCAGGAATTCGAAGAGGGATACTTTCACAATTCCTGATTTTTTCAAGCGCGTTGTTTTTCTCATTGTAGCCATTCATGTTTTTGCTAATTGAAGTCCAATCATGGGAAGTAGCTAGTGTATTTCAATGTATTTCATTCAAAGCAAGATGGCAACAAGGGTAGCTGCGGACACATGAGAAGGCCACGAGATGCTGCATTTGGAAAGTTGTCATTTATGTACAATACCCAGTGCTGTATAAACTTGTTATTACTTGTCGTATGACTTTCGATGACTTTCGGCATTTGGCCAGAGGCTTTTGGAAAGTGTAACACCTTTGGTTAGATGAGTGGAGAATCCAAAAGATTGAAGATACCGAGGTGTTGGGATGATCTCCAGGCCAAGAAGATTCACTTTCAGCTGATGGACGGCTCGTTCGTGGTGCAATTGACAACGGAGGCATCCGCCTGCAGTGGTCCTGGTGGCTACAAGTCGATTTTCTCCGCGTTGTTTCCACCTGGCTCGGAATTGCGGATACACCACGCTTGTCCTTTGGAGCCTTGCACGTCTCTCCCGGACGAGTGGACCTTGAGGTCCAAAGCCTGGTGTAGCGGGGGAAGTGAAACTGAAGACGGCGTAGTGCAGAAACTGCATTTTCAGGTGGATTCCAGTGCGGTAGATGTCGTGGGATGTGCTTTGCCGGCAACATATCAGCGTATGCTCTATGGAGATGTGTGTTTGCCTTGGGTGGTAGACAAAGTAAGGATCATCTCTGGAAAGCAGACAGATTCCGTGAGTTTGTCGATTGCGGATGCCAGCATGAACTGCAGCGGAATTGAGTCCGTGATAAATCAGTTTGGTGCCACCCAGGAACCTCCCAAGATCAGCTTCAAAACAGCTTGTCCAGCTCGTCCTCAAGCGAAGGTGGAGAAGACTGAGAACGCTATAGTACTTCCTCCAAAGAAGTCAAACCACAGCCACCACTGTCCCACAGCAGTTGAGGGCCTGGAAATGGTTGTAACTGACAATGCAACAGCTTCTTGTGGCAAAGACCTATCTTTGCGCTTGCCAATTGCATCCATTAGCAATCGACACTTGGGGTGCATCCTGGCCGGCCATCTCAAGGTTTCTATTGACGACAGATGCATACCAATCCCGGTCGCGAAGGTGCAGTACTTGTCAGATGGGCATGCCGTTGTCGCAGAAATATTTCCCGACTACAACAAAACTGCTTTGAATTGTCATATGCTCGCACACCAGCTCACATCCATCATAGATTTATACGGGAATGGCTTGCAGATTGCAAGTGGCTGTAGCATGGCAATCACAGCTAAGACGGAGCTGGTCCATGTAACTACAACTACAACAACAGTGGCTCCTCCAGTGCCCTGCAATGCCTTGAAAAGTATGGATATGGATATTTCTGAAGATGCTGTGTGCAAGGGGAATTCCATGGTTTTTCAAGTGCCCAAGAAGGCACTGAAGCTAGCAGATTGGTGTCAGTCACCAGGTCTTAATTGCTTCTTCAAGGTGGACAACATGACCATGTCCAGTGAAGGCTACTGTCAAGCGATCGCAGGCCTTCGAATCACTTCAGATCCTGAGGCTGAGGATGCTGACATCGCGACAGTTATTGCAGACTTTCCGAATTCTCAAGCTTGCTCTTCAGATGCGTTTGGTCAAACCGTCCGGTTTCAGACCGGGTGTCCACCCTCAGCAGTCCCCTGCTTCACTCAAGAGCAGGACTTGGTGGTTACTTCTTTAGCAAGATGTGTCTTGACTCAGAATAAGTCATATATAGATATTTTATACATGTTTTCATGTGTTGTTTAAATCTGTATTTAATGGTAGTGAAACTAGAAGTCCTTTGTATAGTGAAACTTCGTGGACAGCCTGAGGTGATGCTGAAAGTCTGGTCTTCGGTTACCGGCCAGGCTCACATTGCAAACTGGCCACGGAGTCAGTGAGACTTCTTGATTCCAAAGGTAGGTGCTTTCCAGTGACCTTCAAGAATGCCACCATGGCACCTGCCCTGGTACGACTGCATCCATTGGATTCCCCTTTCAACTGTGCTGAGATTGCCTCATACTTCAACAGTTTGATTTTGCACAAAACTGAAGATGTGCGCATGGCAGTGCCTTTGGCCATGAGGGGCTCATGTGAGCATGTAACGGCCGTAATTCCACAATGCACCACAAAAGACATGCTGACAATGGTCATGCAATCAGAGGCTCGATGTTCGCAAGATGGGACTTATTACTTTGAGGCACAGCCTGGCAGTGCAAGTATTGATGTGGAGTGCAAGTTTGACGGCCCAAATCTGCGAGTCTTTGATGGACACAAGTGTTTGCCTGGTTTGTCCTTCCGCAAGTGGCACTTGCTTCCGCTGGGTGATTCGGTGATCGTCACCGCAAATCCGATTGAGTCCCAGAACTGTACGGGAGCAAACAGTCACATAGAGGAGTTCAACACATTTCTTGGTAAAAGTCTCAGTGTGAAGCATGGCTGCATTGTTGAACCGGAAGCTCCATCCTTTTTGCCGTGCTTGACTTCAAGCGACTCAAGCAGGCCTCTGACATTCAAGATGAAATCCAGTCCTTCCTGCGATGACGGAGGCTTCTACTACTCATTTGAGGTGACATCAGGCTTTCTTCCAGCTGATGCGGTTGACATGACCACAACCAAGTGTATGTTGGAGGGCGATGGATTACAGATTCTCAAAGGCGAGGACTGCGTGCCAACTTTGTCCTTACAAAAGGTGCAATTCTTGCCTACCTACGGATCTATAGTTCTCAATGCATACCCGGCCACATCCCAGGCTTGTGATGGAGCAGCTGGACATGTTGCACAGCTTGAGAAGATGTTCGCAGTGGGAGATGCTGTATCTTTCAAAACAGGATGCCCTGCGATGGCGCAAGTATCACTACCTGCTACATCTCCAATTCCTGCTGTGGCACCAGCGCCGGTGCCTGTTCTGCCTAGCACAATGCCGAAGCAGAAGCTTGGCTTGTGCACACGTTCGGAACACCCACTTCAAGTTGCATTGAAATCAGAACCACGGTGCTCTGATGACGGAGGCTTCTACTACTTCGAAGTTGCAGCAGGCATCCTTCCTGCAGATGCGGTTGACATCAGCACAGAGGAATGTGTGTTGGAAGGTCCTGGATTGCAGATTCTGAAAGATGAGCATTGCATGCCGACTTTATCGCTACAAAAGTTGCAGTTTTTGCCTATCCATGGTTCTGTGATTCTCAATGCATACCCTGTTGCATCCCAGGCTTGCAAGGGGCCTGCTGGACATCTGGAACAGCTTGAGAAGATGTTCACCTTAGGGGATGCTGTGTCTATCAGGACCGGATGTCCCGTGATGTCCGTCTTGCCATCTAGTCCGGCACCGGCAGCAGCTCCGAAGCATCCTCGATTGTGCACACATTCTGAAGAGCCAATGACATTGGTTGTAAAATCGGATGCCCGGTGCTCAGCCGATGGCAGCTTCTACTACTTCAATGTTGAGGCCGGTGTGCTTCCAGCACAGTCATTTGATATCAGCAGAGTGGAATGTGAAATGAAGGGCCCAGGACTCAATGTCTACAGGAGTGAAACATGTATCGACTCAATGGAAATGGAGAAGATACACTTGCTACCACTTGGCACGTCCATCGTGGCAACAGTTTTTCCAGCTGGTTGGCAGACTTGCTCTGGTCCCCATGGACATCTCGCACAGTTCAACGCCAATTACAAAGTCGACCAACCAATTTCCGTGAAACAGGGCTGCAAACGGCCCATGGTCAGCACACGTCAGCAGCCATGCACACAGTCAGTCCAAGCCTTTGCACTTCAGCTGAAATCAGAACCACGGTGCTCTGATGATGGAGGCTTCTACTACTTCGAAGTTGCAGCAGGCATCCTCCCTGCAGATGCGGTTGACATCAGCACAGAGGAATGTGTGTTGGAAGGTCCTGGATTGCAGATTCTGAAAGATGAGCATTGCATGCCGACTTTATCGTTACAAAAGGTGACCTTCACTCCACTGGAGCATGCCATCAGCTTGAGAGCATTCCCAGTAGCATCTCAAGAGTGTGGTGGGCTTTCAGGACACGTGGAGCAACTGAAAGCCCTCTATCGACTTGATGACATGATGGCAATGAAACGATGTGAGACGCTTCCACTAAGCCCAGTGCCAAGCCCAGCATCTCCTGTGGCATCGCCCAGTCCATTTCCTTTGGTTCCTTCGGTTCCGAAAAAGCTGCCTAATTGCCTCACCGAGGGACTGTTGACCTTGAGGATTGAGTCACCAGCAAGGTGCTCTGATGCGGGTGGCTCCTTTTTCTTCGAAGCAAAAGCAGGAGTCATGCCTCTTGATGCCCTTGATGTGAGCATCGAAGAATGCATCTTAGAAGGCCCAGATCTGCATCTTGGAACAACTTGTGAGTCACCCGCCATTGAAAAAGTGCATCTCCTCCCGATTGCTGGGTCTATTGTTGTGAATATCTACTATGGATCTCAGCCGTGCAGTGGAGAAGCAAGGGGGTTCAACACGATGTACAAGGTTGGAGGGGAAGTTTCATTGAAGAGGTGTCAAGCCAGAATGTCTCCTGCCCCAGAAGTCAGTCATGTGCCGGCTCCAATGCCGGCACCAGCACCTGCTGTACAACGTTGCAGTAATTCAACAGATCCTTTGACATTGCTTCTGAAGTCACCAGCGGTATGTTCAGCAGACGGTACGTTCTACTACTTTCTGATGGAAGCTGGTACACTGCCAGTTGATGCCGTTGACATCACTACAGTGACCTGTGAATTGTATGGTCCAGCATTGCACCTTTACCTTGGGGGACAGTGCCTGCAAAACATGATAATTGCTAAAGTAAGCTTTCTCCCTTTGCGGAATTCTATCATGGTATCCGTTTACCCAGCAGGTCAGCTGGGCTGTTCCGGGCCAGCAGGTCAGCTTGCCTTCAACAGTGCATATCATGTTGGACAGATGGTCTCAATGAAGCCTGGGGAATGTACCCTCGCGGCACACGCAGCACCTCCCAGCTGTTTCGGAAACACCTCTGCGTCGACAGCAATGGCTTTAGCCTTGACCCTGCTTGTGGAGACCTCCGCAGAATGTTCAGATGGAGGGTATACTTTCAAGGTCAAGGCTGGCACCGTTCCAGAAGCTGCAGTGGACATCAGTACGAATGAGTGTGAACTACAAGGGCCCTTGCACTTGTACCAAAGCGGGATCTGTTTGCAAAACATCTCCTTGAGGAGAGTGTTCTTTTCTCCTACGAAAGATTCCATCATGGTACATCTATATCCGGAACAAGGCTGTTCCGGCTTCAGTGCCAAAGTTGGTGAGAAAATATCCATGAAGCCTGGTCCTTGTGAGGTTACTCCGACCGCAGTGGTGCCTGAATCGGTGCCTGAATCCATCCAACCTTGCCTCCCAAAGATTCTGAGCTCAGAATCGGTGACCCTGACGATTCAGTCGGAAGCCAAGTGTTCTGCTGACGACACCTCATACTACTTCAAGGTGGGTGCAGGAATGCTACCAAGTGAGATGCTGGACATCAGCACGAATGAATGCGAAATGCAAGACTTAAATTTCATGTCTCAGAACAAGTGTTTGCAGACCATGAAGTTGCAGAAGCTTCATTTCCGTCCCCTTGGAACCTCAATTTTGGTTGCAGCCTATCCCAAGAATCAGAGTTGTTCAGGTCCCCGGGGGCAGCTCGCAGAGTTCAACAGCAATTTCAAAGTTCATCATCCAGCATCCTTGAAGCACTGCGATTATGACGAAGCCCTCATCGCTCCAGCACTCCCTGCGAAGCCAGTGATGTGCACAAGCTCTGTGGAGGTGATGACGTTCACGCTGCATTCCAGTGCACAAGGATGTTTGAACGGAGGCTTCTACTCCTTCCGAGTTACTTCTGGAATCTTGCCAGCCTCTTTTGTGGATGTGAGTAGTACACCGTGCGAGTTGAACTTGCCAGGCTTGAATGTGTATGAACATGAGGAGTGTTTGGAGACTATGGCCTTCCAGAAAGTCTATTTTGTCCCATCCAACAATGACATTATTGTCACCCTTTTTCCCAACGCATCACAGAGTTGCTGGACGCACCTTGAGATGTTCAACAAAAACTACAAAGCAGGCCAACAGTTCTCTCTCAAGGCATTTTGTGGAATGACCACCACAACCACCACAACAAGCACTAGCACCAGCACAACAACAGCCACCAGCACCTCAACCTCTACGAAAACGAGCACATCCACCACCACAACGACTTCAACGGAAACACTGACTTCGACATCCACAGGAACCAGCACTACAACAAGCACTGGAACCAGCACATCGACATCGACAGGAACCAGCACCACGACAAGCACAGGTACGAG